GTGGTTGGCTTTGATTGTTTTGTCAGTGTGTATTGTGTAGTCCCATAAAATTGTAACAAGTCCTATCTTCGTAACCGGGTCGGGGTGGTGTTCATACCAGTTTCTTTCAGTTTCCTTCCCGTAGAGGTTTCAGATTTTCCAGTGCAGATATTAGCCCACTGTCATGTCGGGTTTTATATTCAGTGGGTGCCAATATTGTACAACCTGATTCAAGATAATCAATTTTTTTCAGGTAATTATCACAGAACCTGCATTTTGGGCTAACACAATATTTTAGTATGTGTGCTTAATAATTTCTAGTTAACAAGCACTGATCCCATGCAGCAAGGATAAAACCTTCTGTTTCAGCTTTTAACCCTGCACTACATAGCCACTGATGGGTACGGGACTTGTCTACATCAGCTTCTTTGGTACGGGCAGAGTATTGGCCATGAAGTGGTTTATTTTGCCATTGTTTGTGTATCTGGTTGGTTGCATTTTTCTTTGCTTTCTTTTTTAAGTATTTTGCAGCTTCAGCCAGTGTACTGTGCTTTACTTGTATTTCTGCATCCATTTGAAACTCTATTATTATTATTATTATTATTATTATTATTATTATTATAAATAAATAAATAAATAAAAATAAAATATAAAATAATAATAATGAAAATTTTGAAGACACAAGGGGCTACTGGGAGAGAAAAATAATGAGGAGAAACCATAAACTCAATCCTAAACAGAAAACAAAGGATAAACCTTGACGGAGCAGTATGAACCAAACAATAGGCAAGACCTACTACTCCTATAATATATATATATATATATATATATATATATATATATATATCAAGTATAGGATTGGTGTATATGGAATAAATTCCAATAACCAAAAAAGACTCATAAAAGTGTGATCAATACAGAGTAGAGCAAATATAATTCATTCAAAAATTATAACCTAAACATGTCATAGCATCACTACAAAAATAGTCATTTATGTTTCAACACTTCTGGTGTCTTATCAAGTGATGGTGTTGAATGTAGAATAAAGGGTTTATTCTTTGAATAAATTGTATATATATATATATATATATATATATATATATATATTTATTTGTTTGGTTGTTTGTTTGTTTGTTTAGCAGCATATCAACTCCTTATGGGTTATTTAATGCCATAATTTAATTTTCTTGAAAGCATTAGTAATTTTTATTTTCATTGTGGTTATATTTTTTTTGTCAAAAATGCCTTGCTAGTAATTCTTTTTTTACTATGAAGATGTATTGCTGGTAATTTTACTATAAAAATTTATGTATGATATATATTATATATTTATAGGCCTTTTGAGTAAATTGAAGCATGAAAGATTTAAAGTTTTATATGTGACTCACATATTAAAGGATTAAACATGGATTTGGGTTTAATCAGAGAATAAAGTTTCCACAGAGAGTTGTCTAACCAATTTCTCTTCATGCTTCAGTATTGTCAAAAGTTTAATAATTAATAAATATCATCAATTTTATTGCTCATATTATCATTTTGTTGGCTTTTTATTCCTCAAATTTTATTAACCAACCTATTAAATCTATATATAATAAGAAGCCTACATGAACCATCTTTCAGTTTTATTATATATATATATATATATATATATATATATACATATACTTCAGCAAGCAGAAATTTTTTTCTCCTGATGATGGTCATTTTCGCCAAAACTAGTCAAGGAATCTAAATGAAATCTTAATAAAAATGAAAGAATATTAATATACAACCCAGTGTGCCTGCAGATTTTAATTTCTTAATATTTTTATTATTCAACATATATATATATATATATGTGTGTGTGTGTGTGTGTGAAGTGTGTATAAATATAAATAAATATATATATGTATAATTATTTATATATTATATACGCGGTACTTATTAGATCGCTAAAGCATGAAACCCAGGGTCACAAACTCACATCTATCCAACCATATATATATATATATATATATTTGTATGTATGTATGTATATATATATATCATGTATCTTAGCAGATCTCTGCTGCTTAAACTAGAAAAGTATTTCAAAATTTTTTTTTAATGAGGTGCTAATGTCAACAGCACTGCAAAAGGGAAATTGATAACTTTTCTACTACTAGTTAGTGACAGTGTCAGTTCATATACCTGTCTGTTTTGTTCAACCATTGCTAATTGATATTGAGATCTTTTTGTGAATCAGTTTTAATATTTTATATTATTAGGATGCACTTGGATTACATACCAACGGATTATTACCTCAATATATTTCTCATGGTTAGAAAATGAATGTCCTAACCAATCACACATATGCACATATATATAAAAGATGGTCCACGTATGCTTCTTATAATATGTAGATTTAATAGGCAGCAGTTAATGAAATTTAAGGAATAAAAAAAAGGGAAAATGATAGCAGTATTAGCAATGACATCAATGATATTTATCATATATTAGCCTTTTAAATAAATTAAAGCACACTAAGAATGATTTTAAAGTCAGAATTTTTGGATACGCCTATGTCCTTTTTCAACAAGATGAGGAATAAACAAAAAAACTATAACTCACATAAAGAATTAGACAAGGATTTGGGTTTACCCTAGTTTATTTTTTTATCTTGTTGAAAAAAGGACACAGGTGTGTCCAAAAATTGCAACTTTCATTTCATGCTTCACTTATACACATACCCAAAATCAAAACCTACCCACATTTCTCACCCACACAAGACAGACATGCTTACCGAGGTGTGGAGGCCTCACACTTATACACACACCCACACGAATATACACACTTACACACATCATACTCACTCACTCCCTAATGAGCCAAATGATAACACACACCCACAGCAATACACACGCTTACACATATCATACTCACTCACTCCCTAAGAACCAAATAACACACACACAAACACTAAACAGAGACACATCCCCTCACCAGGTCCAATAAAACTGTCAAACTGACCAGAGAATTCAGAGTGGCATGTATATCCAGCTCTTATCTCAAATAACAACTTAAAAGAGACCGTTTGACCAACACAAGGATTGTTAAAAGATTCATGTTAAAAAGATAAAAAAATAAAAAAACAAATGAAAACTACAGACAAAAGTTCATTTTCTCCAGCAAAAGATACATTTCTGTAGTTTACTGCTACCAGCAAGCAGAAATATTTCTCCTCCCGATGATGGCCATGTTGGTCGAAACTAGTCGAGGAATCTAAATGAAATAATAATAAAAAAAACGAAAAAATATTAATCTACAACCTAGCGTGTCTAACGATTTTAATTTTTTATAATTTTTTATATTTTTTTCCATTGTTCAAAATATATATATATATATATATATATATATATATATATATATATATAGCAACAGATATTTTTTATATATCAATAACAAAATTGGGGAAAAATATATGACAAACTGCAAAAAGTTTTCTTGTGATGCGTTTCATCGTTTAGGGCTTCATCAGACTAAATTTTTTATGTTGATGCAATTACACATGTGTTTGAATGAGGGATGCTGGGAATTTTAAATTTCAAATGTTTTCATAATATTTTACCATTCCTGGAAGAACTGTTATTACTGTGGGATTTCTCCTAACCAAAGTGATGAAAAGAAGAAAAAGAATTTCAATGAAACTGGCTAGATTAAAAAAAAAATTATTTAAAATCCCAGCATCCCTCATTTGTGCTCATGTACCAACATAACAAATATAGTCAGATAATGTCCTGAAGGATGAAACACATCACAAGAAAATTTTTCCCCTTTGTCATATTTTTTCCCCATATATATATATATATATATATATATATATATATATATATATATATATATATATATAAATATATTTATATATATATTTGCAAAAAAATCTTGCACAAACATATTGATTATACAAACGTATCACTATAAAACTGGTAAGACAGGTATAATACTTACTATATACCTACTTTTACAGCCTAGATTTCTAAACTTTTGCTTGAGGATGAAACAGGGCTTCATACTTTAATTCAATTTATTTTCAATAATTATATCGAGGTTTTTGGCTCTTGTGTTTGAAACATGAGAATTCTTATGTAGCGAAGAAATCATATTATTTAAAAAAAATAATTATAATTTAAGCTCTACTTCTGTATGGAGCACTGTTTTCTAAAAATAAAAACAAAAATACTAAAGAACCCTGGATTATTTACCTAACGTGTTCTTTCCAATTTTTTTACATATTTGCACATATATACATATATATATATATATATGTGTGTGTGTGTGTGTGTGTGTGTGTGTGTGCATTAAAACTGTATATCACTTAATATTCTTATTGCTGTGTATACAAATAGGTAGTAAAATGTTAGTCACCAATATATATTTTTATGGTTGATAAATATAACAAAAATTATTCACTTCACATGGCACTTCAAAGTCAGAGAAAATCTGTTTATATATGAAGAAATCCTGAATTATGAAGACACAGACAAATACATTTCTGCTTGTGTCAGTTATATTTCAGGCAATCCATTAATCCAGGAATGATTTTGTCTTGGAAGTTTTTCTTATCACAAGAATTTTGGTAAAGAATGACAGCAAATCTTCAAAGTTGGTTTTGCCCAAGAAGTCTAAGACAATTGTGGAAATTTCCTCAGGTAATGTGGACTTTAATATTGAGCATAAAAACACAAATATATATATATATATATATATATATATATATATATATATATATATATATATATATATTAAATTTTGTTTAGTAAAAAAAAAGATTATGGGGAAATATCATGGATTTGTCTTCTGACTCAAGAAATGTTTTCTGTACAAGTTAAAGGTAGTTTCTCATGCAAAACTAACTTCGAATTGAAAGTGATCTGATCAATTTCTGAGATTACTTTTAGATAAAAAATCTTGGTTGGTAAAGTGGAATGTCATGGTAAATGTTAGAATAAACATAAATATACATTATTGCCCTCCAATGTTGTTCAGATACTCAGATCTCTATTTCATATATTTGTTGTTATCTCAACATTTTGGATGACCCATTCTTCATCCTTCATGACATGTAATCTCTGAGAGCAAAGGAAATGTGTCTCCTCCCAAAACAAGAAAGTTTTCCTTTGGTTGTTTCTGAAGGAGGTTTCCTTTGATTGTTTTTGGAGGAAGGAGGTTTCCTTTGGTTGTTTCTGGAGGAAGGAAGTTGCCTTTGGTTGTTGTTGGAGGAAGGAGGTTTCCTTTGGTTGTTTCTGGAGGAAGGAGATTTTCTTTGGTTGTTTCTGGAGGAAGGAGGTTTTCTTTGGTTGTTTCTAGAGGAAGGAGATTTCCTTTGCTTGTTTCTGGAGGAATGAGGTTTCCTTTGCTTATTTCTGGAGGAAGAAGTTTACCTTTGGTTGTTTTTTGAGGAAGGAAGTTTCCTTTGCTTGTTTCTTAAGGAAGGAGATTTTCTTTGGTTGTTTCTGGAGGAAGAAGTTTTCCTTTGCTTGTTTCTGGAGGAAGGAGGTTTCCTTTGCTTGTTTCTGAAGGAAGGAGATTTTCTTTGGTTGTTTCTGGAGGAATGAGGTTTCCTTTGGTTGTTTCTGAAGGAAGGATGTTTCCTTTGGTTGTTTCTGGAGGAAGGAGATTTCCTTTGCTTGTTTCTGGTGGAAGAAGGTTTCCTTTGCTTGTTTCTGGAGGAAGGATATTTCCTTTGGTTGTTTCTGGAGGAATGAGGTTTCCATAGGTTGTTTCTGGAGGAAGGAGATTTTCTTTGGTTGTTTCTGGAGGAAGGAGGTTTTCTTCATTATTACTCAAGAAAAACGTTTTTCTTTCTTCTCCCTGAACTGATAAGTTCTGAAGAACAGGGGAGACAAAATGTTGAGTTAACAGCAGAAAACATGAAAAGAAGAGATTATAGATTCAAACAATTTCAGACAGGTTAATGTCATTTCTTATACAGAAAACATTGACTTAGACAAGTGTTTTAGAGACAATATGTATATTTTGGTCAATATCTCTCTCTGCCTCTCCTTTTCTACCTCTCCTTTGGTTTTACCTGCTTTCTATCTCTCCTTTGCTTTTATTCTCTTTCTACCTCTCTTTTTCTAGCTCTTTTCTTTTACTTTTTTTCTACCTCTCCTTTTCTAGCTCTTTTTTACCCTCTTTCTACCTCTCCTTTACACTTTCTTTTCTCTTTCTTTCTTTCTTTCTCCATTTTCTCTTCATCTATTTTTCTTTCTCCTTTTCTTTTTCACTTTTCATCTCACCTTTTCCCTTCCCACTTACTCTCTTTTTCTGTCTTTTTCTTCTCTTCCTCTCATTCTACACAACTATAAAATAGACGGAAATAAAGTTAATACTTATTTTGATAAATATAAATCTATATATGATTTAAATTGCATGCAAGGTGATACTTATAACAATTTTTAAGTTACTAAGGTAAAAAGTTTCTTCACTGATCTATAATTAATGTTGTAACATAAATATTTGCTTACATTACATTTGAACTGTTATCCTTATCCTCATTGCCATATTCACAACGTTTCGGCCGTTGCATGCTCTAGCCTTCTTCAGGTGATTAGAATTTTGAACTGAAAGATGAGGATAACAGTCTGAATAATGTAAATTATGTAAGTAATCATAATACCTTATCTCAGAGATATAGAGACATAAATATTTGATTTAAAGAAAAATCTTGTTGTATCTGCATGTTAACATTCAAATAAAATTTTCAAAAATTTTAATTAAAATTTGGAATACTTCCAGTGAAAAACAATTAACAGACTGGATGAACAGCTGATTTATAGCATCTAACATCCAACACAAAATCCTGTTCATCAATATTGTTACAGAAATTTTGAAAACTGATAATTTGATCTTTTTTCTAGAAGTTATGCCAACTCTTGATTTTGTATATTTCACACAGAAGCCAAAGTTTTAGTTGTAGTTCTTGATTGAGTATGAGTTAATACACTTGACGGCAAATTATTAAATACTGATAGTAGATTTTGGGGTTATAAGTTTCCTCTAATAACCACTCTTTCAAAAGCCAGATGGAAAATGCCTTTCACAAACAACTGCGTTTGGTTTGTCAGTTGTGTTGTCTCAAAGCCTCTGTTCTCAATCATTCTGCTCTTGTGGAAGACAAAATACACAAACCTTTTTTTGTTTGTTATAGTTACCATGGCAACCCATTGCATGGCACTTTTTCATTATTCTGAGAAAGATTTTGAGATAGTGAAATAGGAGAACTAACAAAAGATATGCTGATCAACAGAATGCATAAAATCCAAGGTTGGGACACTGATATTAGAGAAAAGAAAAAATACTTCAGAGATGGAATTAATATATCAGAGAACTCTTCCACAATGAAAAAGATCTACTGTCAAGGCAAAGAAATATTGAAGGACCAGAAATATTAAAATCTGAAGTGAAATCAGCACTGATGAGATTGAATAGAAACAAAAGCAGCAGAGTGAGGTGGAATTGTAATAGAGTGGCTGGCAGATGATTTGGACATTGGCAAGATTACAGACATAATAAATTAAATATACAACAGTGATGATATACTTTAGTAGATCTATTTTCATAGCACTACGTCAGAAGTCAGGTGCAACAAATATGAACATCATCAGACTATCAGCCTAATGAGCCACATAACAAAATAACTCATCCAAGTTCTGATGAACAGAACACACAACAGAAATAGACCTAAAATTAGATGAACAGTGCATGTACACTAAAGACACTGGAACAAGGAATGCAATATTTATACTCAGAACGATAACAAAAAGAGCAATACAAATGCAGAAGTATGTATATCTGTTAACACTATTTACATTGTTTGAATCGTTGTCCTCATCTTTATTGTCATATTCACAGCATTTTGACTGTTGTACACACCGACCTTCTTTAGGTGATACATATGTTGGAATTTTGAACCAAGCCTTTTATTTAGTCCACTGGGGTAGATTCTTCTAGTTCCACCTGCCATCCCTTTTCTGAACTACTCAGTTTCAGTTAATTCTCGTTAGTGACTCAACTCACCAAATTTTTCTTCACCACTGCTGTGGCCAGGTATTGAACTCACAGTTCTTTGGATCAAATCACTGGATTACTTCAACCAAAGCTTTTATCCACTGGGCCATGTGTCCTTGGGGACTAAATAAAGAGTTTGGTTCAAAATTTCAACATAAATCACCTGAAGAAGGCCGAAGTGTACAATGACTGAAATGTTGTGAATATGACCATAAAGATGAGGACAACAGTCCGAACAATGTAAATAGTGTAAAGTCTATTTCAACTGCATACTTCTAGCGTCTCCCCCTTAAATTCTCAAATTTTATTTATTATTTACTTTTCCACAATAAGAGTTGTCGGAGTTAACTCCTCCTTCAGTTCGTAACCCTTTCACCAGTGGTCTCTCTTTCCTGGCTATAAATAGCCGCTGACCCTTCACCTAGATCTCTTTTTTCCTTTCAGGCCTGTGCACTGACACCTCGAGGTAAATTTCTCTTATTCCTAGAGGATTTCAACTATCAACCTCGAAATGTAGTCGCTAACAAGGAATAGCGTGGAAACATGCTAAGCACAATATACACACACGCACGCACACACGGAATATTCACACACGCACGCACATACAGAATATTCACACACACTTCATCCTTTGTACTGTTTCCATGTATTGTAACTTGTTATTAATATATATTTGTATACATATATTATCGGTCTTGTTTTGTTTGCTTTCTTTACCTTCTTCTTTGGACTTAATCAAAGTCCAACCTTTTTATGTAGTTGGGCTTGGCAGGCAGGAGTATCTGAACCTTGCGTTTCTTCTACGTCTGACTTCTGTCAACAACATAACAGCCACGCCATGAACCCTCAACAAACCGTAACCGCCACGGCCCACTACAGAGTTGATAGATTTGTCTATCATCAAGTTACTACTCCCAAACTCCACCAGCTGGTGATGGCCGAAGCCTGATTGGTGACTTTGTGAACCCTGCTATCTTATCAACATTTGCTTTTTTTCTACCTACATTACAATTGACTAAAGGATGAACATTTTTCATGAATTTGACATTATTATGGATATTTTTTTCATCCAAATCTGTAAATTTGTTTTGCTGATCTTAAATTTTGAAAAACTATAAAAATTCAGTTTTTTTTCCATGTCGAATTATTTAAATTTTTAACAAGAAAAATCTCAAGTCAATGTTAAAAATTGCCACAAAAAAGTGACTTATGGAAGATGGAATGATCTATGAAATAATTTATATTTAATTATATTTTCTCGTTGCATTGTTCACCTATAGAATATATGATCCACTATTGTACATAATTAGGTTGCATAATTTGGCTTGCCTATAAAATGTGTATTTTATGAATACTACTTTATGAAAAGTGAGATGTAGTGGATGGACCCTTATCATAGATTTGGTGGGACACACAAAACCCTTGCATGGATGCTGGTATTTAGAATTGGGTCTCTAGTACCTTCTCAAGTTTTTTCATTTTCTTTCATTCCCAGTAGAGCCTTTTTGTGCCTTAGTGCTTAGGATAAATTGAAAAAAAAAAACCTGATTTTTGGTTGCACTCCACGATGCAGGAATTTATGATTCAGATTTGGAAATTTTATTGTTCATAAAATTAAATGGGGATTGGAAGTAAGTAGAAATTTAACATCCATACCATCACAGGTAGGTGAAGACTTTTTTTTAAAATCATCTAAATTACATGTTATGCTTTGCATCTTAAGAAAATACAAGTATTTAAATTGTTTTTATTTTTAAGAACAGTGGTAAAATTTATAAAGTTAAATTCAATAAATTTAACTTAAATTTGTTACAAAAAGTCTTTATGTAACAAAATTCTTAATAATGACATTTTTGATTTTTCATTATTTTCGCAGCATAATTACATATTGTTGATATAAAAAATGGTAAAATTTAAAAATGAAAGGCAATATACTTTTTAAAAAAGTATGATCAAAAAGTATTCATAAAAAATAAATTTTATAATCATTTTGTTCATTTCTATAGAGGAATATATTAATTATTTTTATTTGACAAAATTCTTAATAATGACATTTTTTAGTCAATTTTGCATTTTAAAACTGTTCTACTAAAACACAGAACAGAAACATAAGAGAAAACAATGTAATATATTATATTCTCTTTTTTGCAGAGAGTGAGGGTTAAAGAGGAGTTGTTTAACATCAAATTAAATTTATTGAACTTTAACTTTGTGATAAAATTCTTAATAAATAACATTTCCCATTAATATTGCAATGCAAGTTGCATTTTATTTTGTCTTCTATTTAGTCAATGGTGAAGGCAACATTAAAATTCAATCTTTTTAAAATACCTTAAAAATCACAACCTATTAAAAAATTAAATTTTGTAATCAATATGCTCATTGTTTTGAAGAACAATGTCACAGAGTAAAATAATTAACTTTGTGGTGAAATCATTAAGAATAACATTAATGAAAATAAATTTAAAAGACCAAAAGTTCAAGGGAAATAAAATAAATGAATCATTTACTTACTTCAGTGCCTTAAATAATTAATGTAAATTAAATTAATCCAGGCATAAAATTTAAAAAGTAAATATTTCTTTTTAAAAAAAATTAAATTTTTTACACTCAAAACTGAAACAAATGCAATTCCAGCAACAAACTTTCATTATCATGGGTCCTCAGCAGGACAGAACATACACACAGATTCTGGGTTTATTCTTAATGTTGCCATTTTTATTTATATCAAACTGCAAGTGCTGGAAAAAAAAGAAAAGAAAAAAAG